ATTCTTTTTTTTAAATGCTTCTCCTTTTTACTTGTTTTTTTGCTAGCAACTCACTTCCTCTCCTAGTGTGGTAACTATCAATCGCCGTACTGTATACAGTATATGGAGGAACATTCACACCGTAGGCCAGCCTTTTTCAACCAAGGGTGCCTTCTGTTTTCTTCAGGGGTGCCTTGGCAAAATGCCTAAAAATTGCCCCAAAATTGTATACAATCCAGCATATGGATCAAGCCTGCCTTTCAGTTACATAAAGCTACATGTGGTTTTCATTGTGCATCATTAGAACCTTCCAGCTACTGGAGTCCTAACAACCAATGATGTTAAGGGGTGATAAGAAAGACATCAGGCGCCTGCACAGCATTCTTGTTTGCCCCTCCCCTGCCCATCTCCATCAGTAATAAATCACATTAGCTTAGTGATCGAGAGAAAATGAGAGCGAAGAGAAACACTGGAATACTAGTCAGTAACAGTGTGCAAAAGTTTATTTGCTTTGGAAGAATAAATCACCTATAATGTTGTCTTGCGTATGTGCATGTTGCTGCATCATAAAAATACTACTAGTTGAATTTTTTTACATTTTAGAATGGGGTTCCTCCTTGATTGTCCATATTTTTAAAGGATGTCTTGACTGAAAAAAAGTTGAAAAACACTGCCCAAGGCAACTCTTCTGATTTGATCTTCAAATTTTCTCCATTACCTAGGCAGTATTCTTTAGTTCAAAGAATATAGCTGGAAAGGTTTTAGTTAAATGCAAAGGAAATTACAAAAACACTAGTTTTCTGGCAGGAGCAGCATTTTTTAATTGCTTCCCGACCGCCCTATGAATGGTAGGTGTATTGTAACACTGAGAGACAGAATAGCAACAAAAAATTCAAAAGAAATGCATGTCTAACAAATTATGCACTGATTTGCATGTTCGTGAGGGAAATACATATTTGATCCCCTATCATTTAGCAGGATTTCTGGCTACCAGATGTCTTTCATATAGGTAACAAGCTGAGATTAGAAGCAGTCTCTTAAAGGGAGTGCTGCTAATCTCATTTTATTACCTATATAAAAGACACCTGTCCACAGGAGCAATCAAACAATCAGATCCCAAACTCTCCACCATGGCAAAGAGCTGTCCAAGGATGTCGGGGACAAGATTGTAGACCTACACAAGGCTGGACTGGGCTACCAAACTATCGCCAAGCAGCTTGGTGAGAAGGTGCCAACAGTTGGTGCAATCATTCGCAAATGCAAGAAACACAAAACAGCTGTCAATCTCCCTAGGTCTGGTGCACCGTGCAAGATCTCGCCTCATGGAGTGTCAATGATCATGAGAGCAGTGAGGAATCATCCCAGAACTACCACAGTCACCAAGAAAACAATTGGTAACACACTACGCCGACAAGGATTGAAATCCTGCAGTGCCCGCAAGGTCCCTCTGCTCAAGAAAGCACATGTCCAGGCCCGTCTGAAGTTTGCCACTGAACATCTGAATGATGCAGAGGAGGACTGGTTGAAAGTGTTGTGGTCAGATGAGACCAAAATCAAGCTCTTTGGCATCAACTCAACTCGCCGTGTTTGGAGGAGGAGGAATGCTGCCTATGACCCCAAGAACACCATCCCAACTGTCAAACATGGTGGTGGAAACATTCTGCTTTGGGGGTGTTTTTCTGCTAAGGGGACAGCACAACTGCACCTCATCAAAGGGATGATGGACAGGGCAATGTACCATCAAATTTTGGGTGAGAACCTTCTTCCCTCAGCCAGGGCATTGAAAATGGGTCGTGGATGGGTGTTCCAGCATGACAATGACCCAAAACACACGGCCAAGGCAGCAAAGGAGTGGCTCAAGAAGAAGCACATTTAGGTCCTGGAGTGGCCTAGCAAGTCTCCAGACCTTAATCCGATTGAAAATCTGTGGAGGGAGCTGAAAGTTTGAGTTGCCAAACGTCCGCCACCAAACCTTAATGACTTAGAGAGGATCTGCCAAGAGCAGTGGGCCAAAATCCCTCCTGAGATATGTGTGTAAACCTGATGGCCAACTACAGGAGATGTCTGACCTCAGTACTTGGTGGAAAATCCCTCGTTGGCAATCACAAAGTCATGTTTGTGAAGGGGATCAAATACTTATTTCCCTCATGAACATTCAAATCAGTGCATAATTTGTTAGAAATGCATTTCTTTTGAATTTTTTGTTGCTATTCTGTCTCTGTGTTACAATACACCGACCATTCGATTTTTAGACAGATCATTTCTTTGTAAGTGGGAAAACATTCAAAATCCGCAGGGGATCAAATACTTATTTCCTTCACTGTATACTAGCATTTGTAGAAGCTAGAACTTTCACGTAAACCAATTAATTTACACGTATTGGGATTTTTTTTTGCAAAAACATGTAGCAGAATCCATTTTGGCCTAAATTTATGGAGAAATTTTGCTTTTTTAAATGTTTTACTATGTTTTATAGGAAATAGTAAAAAATATTGTTTTTTGGGTTTTTTTTTTTTTTTTTCAAAATTGTCAGTCTTTTTTTTGTTTATAGCGCAAAAAATAAAAAATGCAGAGGCTATAAAATACCACCGAAAGAAAGCTCCATTTGTGGTGAAAGAGGAACATAAATTTAATTTGGGTGCAGCATTGCATGACCACGCAATTGTCAGTTAAAATAACGCAGCGCCGTATCCCAAAAAATGGCCTGGTCAGGAAGGGGGGGGGGGGGGGGGGGGTAAATCCTCTGGAGGGCAAGTGGTTAATTTTTTAATGAAATTTAACTAGCCTGATATAAAAAAATTAATGAAGCCACCGCAATTAAGGGCTGGTAGACTGCGATATATGATACATCTTCAAAAAGTTTCTGCAATTTTATACATATAATAGTTTAGAAAAAAGTGTGGTAACTTTTTGAGGAGTCCTCGTAGTACATTTATTGTTCTTGGGTTTAGATAAATTTAAAAACCTGCACTGCCTCATTTATTTCTTACAGAGGTTGTCCATCAGATAACAGAATTTACTTTTTTGATCTTCATTTCTTTTCTGGGAGGTGAAGCTATTTATTGATTTGATTTCCCATCTGGAAAAAAGCCATCACACTTAAAAGATAAAGGTATCAGTATACCTAATGTGAAGGACATACAAGCTCTGCACAGCAGTTTTACAATTCTTTTTTTCCCAGTATAACAATCCAAACTGTCAGAATATTCCCAAATGCACCTTTAGAGACTACAGCTCCCTTACCAATCTCACAATGCAGGACTTCTACATTGTGCATAATCTTAAATGCCTTTCCCTTCATTGCTCTTTGTTGTTGGGAAAATCTGGCTAGTGTCTATTTTGCTGAAATTCTTTTTGGCCAGAGATGTAAAAATGTTTGTAAAACCAACTTTTATTATATTACTTAGCAGATCTTTAATGTGATGGCTTTTTTTTTTATTTTAGGCTTTCGTTCTGTTTTTTTCTTTCTTTTTTTTTTTTTTACCTGTTCATCCTGCCAGTAAGGCTGTTGTTTTTCAGCAGAAGAAGCTGCCCTGTAGTTAGTGTTGAGACAGACCATGTAATACTGACAGGAGTACTTCAATGGTCCACTTTTTTTATTCTATTATGTTAAACTCATCCCAAAAGCAACAAAACTGTTTGCTGTAGCTGCTTAAAAAGTGTTGGCTGGAATTTGGCTTCGATTTGTTTAGTGTATCTAAATCTACTACACTACCATCCTGCCATGACTGACTTTGCTGGTATAAAAAGTTGTCTATCTTGCTAATGCAGCCAACACTTCCAAGAATTGGTACACTGTAATAAAAAAAAAAACGCTTAAATGAAAGAAAACATTTCTAATAAGATCTTTCTTATCTAGTCTTAAATAGAAAGATTTATACAAATTCTAGCATAACATAAAACTATAAAATGATCGTTTTCATTGGACATGGGAGACTGGAGAGCCACCATATTCTGTCCACAGAGTTCTTCCTGTCTTTACAACATTGACTGTGGTACTTCTACAAACAATTACGAAACTCCTATGCTTCAGTGCAATATCAAAGAATGTGGTTCAATAGTCCCATAGACTAATTGATTTCAAGAGGTGGCACAGGTCTTGCTGTCCTCAGAGGACTGAGGGTGTCCTCATTTCACTAGAAATAACAATAAAGAAAATAGGGCTCTCCGACCTAGTAAATTACCAAAGACACCATTTATTGAAAATAAAAATATCTAAAATGTTTACTCACAAACTTGTGTGAAGTACAGGCATATATTCGAACATAGAGACCGCCTATGCGTTTCGAGGGACGGACACTCTTCCTATGGTAATGACTTTACTTTGGCTCTAAGGAAGAGGATCTGTCCCTCGAAACGCATAGGCCATTTTGGACACCACGCAGACTTCCCACTCATGTGGTATCATAAACTTTGATGCGGCCTCGCTATATTCTAATATATGCCTGTATTTCACACAAGTTTGTGAGTAGACATTTTATATATTTTTATTCTCTATAAATGGTGTCTTTGGTAATGCTTTAGGCCAGTACACCCTATTTTCTGTATTGTTATTTCTAATGAAATGAAGATACCCATAGTCCTGTGAGGTCAGCAAGACCCGTGCCACCTCTGTGAAAACAGCATTATTGATTAAGAAATTCTTGTGTGGGCTGTATTTTTCGATACATTGCATTTCTGGCTTGTGACATTTTTCTTATATTGAGTGATTTTGTGGAAAACAGTCCTTTTCTTTCTGAAGTGTTTGACAATGAGGTATGGAGTTGATATGTCACCTCCTCTTTGCCTGTTTTAATCCACTAAGTGTTGCACTGCCATTCCTCAATTGCATACATTGTCTGTGTTTCTTGGGTGGTAGCAGTGCAGCCCCATGCCACGGCTGGCCACTGGCTTTAAAAGTAAACGGAGTGAGTTAGGGGATGTTAAAAACATTAAAAATAAAAGTTTTCTAAATGCTACAGTTGCTATGTTAAAAATGTCTAGTCTGTACTAATTTATTTTTTTTTTTATACATCTTTCAGGATAAAACTAGAGTTGTATCTCCAATAATTGATGTGATTAATATGGACAACTTTCAATATGTTGGGGCATCGGCAGATTTAAAAGGAGGTATGTAGCATGTTAAATACTGGAGATTTCAAATTTGGTGTTCTAAATATTTGCATTTGCCGTTCTAATAAAGCCAAGCAAGAAAGCTTTCTCCTCCTGTGTTCTCATTGTTACAACTCAGAATTGATCACTGAGAATAAAAATGATGAAACTGATCAGCTAGTTGACCCTGTTAACTTTTTGAAAACCAACTGAATGTTCCCAAATCAAACCTTTTGCCAATTAAAAATCTACCCATGTATTGCCAGCCAAAGACCTCAATGAAATTGGTTCTGTCGGTGTGTGGAGGGTGGGAAGTCAGTTACAGAGAACCTGAGTTCTTTAAATACAGTGCCCTTAGTTGTATGCCACTACCACCAAGTAACACAGAGCCTAACATGCAGGAACATTTTATGACACTAATTAATATCCAATTCAAATTCCTATTCAATTATTTTATCTACAGTGGTAGTAAACACCCCTTCTCACTTGTATCTACAGGGAAGCTTATAATAAAGCTTACCTGTTGGTACAAGGAATATCTCTAGATATGCACCATTTAGGAGATATTCGCTACTTCTGCAGCCAGTGATGTCACTGGCGCATGTGCAGTGCACACTGAAAGGATGGCATGCTGTCCCTTTAGAGCTCTGTGCCACAGCCGTGAGTCCCATGCGCATGTGTCATTGCGACTCAGCCATTCAAACGGCCATGACCCGTGAATCCAGAAGGAAGACCGGGTGAAGATGGAAGCCCTGTCAGCGGTGACAGTGCACAGCTAAAGGGCTTTGAAATGAGGCAAGTTTTTTCATATTATACTAGTATGTGATGCATTCTAGCAGATTATGCTCCTAACTTGCAGGGGAAGATTTTTTAAACGCCTTTACTACAGCTTGAAAGACAATTTATATAGGGTAGTTGTTGCGGAGGGAAAAAAAAGCAATTTGCTTCACTAAGTTGACTTTCTGTCTAGTCTGTTCATGAAAGTGAGCTATGCAGCAATCAGCTTATGCATAGCCTCACCAGACCAAAATGATGTAATGCAGTAGAAGGCATTAAGCTAAAGTAAAGTTAAGGCAATCATAAGATTATTACAGTCTTACCAGTGGTAACCATTTGTACCTCTGCATATAGGATTATTTACTTTTACAAGGCAACTAGTGTTTCAGGTTTGGTGCATTCTTTCCTATTTGAATATCTACATCCTTGAATAAATGGATCCCCATTTGCAATCAATTAACAATGCTGTACTTTCTGAAAGGGTATTATGGCTTAAGATAAATTAATTACACCTACATAATGTGTCTATTTGGTACAGACAAATCATTTGAGAATGAACAGGTTTAAAGGGAATATATTTACTTTTATTATGTTCAGGATTACAAATTTTTTATCGGGTAAATATGAAAATGTTCGTATGGATTTCATATTCCATCTTTCTAATTATCAAGCGTAGCTCTAAGCTGCTTTCCATGTTTACCAAGATGATCTTAACTGCTGTGCTAAAAAGGAAAAAAAAAAAAAAAAAATTCTTGCCAATAGGTGGAGCCCTAGACTTGAACCACTTCCCATCCGGCCCATGGACATAAACGGCCAGACGGGAGCAGTGCAGGAGCGGGTGGCCGTTTATAAACGTCCTCCTGCTTCCGTGCCTTTGCACACTCAGTGGGAGCGCACGGCACTGCAATCCGGTGCCTGCTGTGTCCAGAGGACACAGCGGAACACCGATCGCTGTACGGGACCTCACGGTCCTAATTCATGTGATCACTGATTGGCCAATCAATGATCACATGAGCAATAGTAAACGAGATATCACTTGCTGACATCATTGCTTACTACTAGTGAAATCTGTGAATAATCACGGAGGTCACATGGTACAAGGCTATTCACAACAGCCTCGTACCATGTCACAAGCTGTGACCAATCACAGCTCTCACAGTATTTCTCAATGACTACAAGAATGCAGCCAGAGAGGAGAAATGATTGCTTTTACAGCCGTTATGGGTGTAAAAGCAATCCGTGTAAAAAAAAAAAAATCTTCATCACCCCATACAAGTAGTACAGTGTCACAGCTAATTGGAGGGAAGAGACACACCCTCTTCCACCCAGCTCACAGGAACAGAGCTGAGGCTGTTAACTATTAGCTGGAGGTTCCTTACTTGTCACCATTTTTCTCTTGGTGTCAGGAAAACTTGTCAGAAGTGACTCCAGCTGATAGCAGAGGAAAAAAGCAGCAGACAAAGTGACACTTTGCTATAGTGCTATAGAGGGATATGCTTTGTTCATATGTCATGTCTGAGGTTTACAGCCACTTTAAGTACATCTTTGTGATGAAAATATGTAGTTTTTAAATTAAAATGTTACTAAACCCAGGACAATGCAGTCACTATATCTGTTTTCCCACAGTACACAGAACATGGAAATGCAGTTATTTTAGTAAATCTAAACTGGTAAATATCGTTTCTCATCAGCAGTTAGGGCTCGTTCACGCTTGACTCATTTCTAACTCTTGCCAAACGCCCCTATAGCGTTTCACAGGTGGTAGACAGGCGTTTGGCAGCGTTAAAAATGCTTCCCAAACACCTTATGCGTTTGATAGGCTTTTGCCAAGCATTAAAACCGCACCACAAATGCCTAGAACGACGTTAAATGGTATTAACGCCTTGAAAACGCCCTGTAATCGTCTGCAGGCGTTTGAGGAGCGGCACCATAGACTTGAATGGGAGGCTTCAACTCATCCTGATTCGACGTGTCAGTTTTGCCGCGACGCTAACGCTTCAGTGTAAATAGCACTGTGTGCTGTCATGTGCATAATTTTCATAGGCGTTTTGAGAACCTTTAAAATGCTTCCCAAACACCTGTCTGACGCTTGCTGACAAAGCTAGTGTGAATGTAGCCTTAGAGCAGTCTTGTGACTTCTGTCAGTGTCCAATTGAGCACTAGTTAAAGCTTGTAAGAGGAGTTTTCCATTTCCCCAGATTGTCCTATGAGGCTGCAGAACCCCTGACCCTCTGTCTGGACAGTGCTGATTGGCCCTGTGCTGATCACATGCACTCTCCCAAGAGCAAAAAAAACTCTAGCAATACACACCAAACTGAGCATGTGCAGCCTGCCCCAGATATATTGGGAACAGTAGAAGTAGGGAATTATCAGAGAAGGCAGGATCAAACCTCCTTTTTACACAATGTAGAAGATTAGCCCTTCGGTTCCATAGTGAGTATAACAAGCATGCTTTGCTGCATATACAGAGTGATTTTACTGTTGTGGATTTAGTAACACCTTAAAACAGTGAATCCAGCATTTGTAATAATTGTTGAACACAAATATCCTTGTGTAGCTTATCCATTTTTTTTTTTTTTTTTTTTTATCCAGCCTGGTTATACCTCAGTGGCCTTTCTAAAAGGGGAAGGTGAAAAGGATGTCCAGATGAGATTGTAATTTTAAATAAGATTATATAGGGTCTGACAGTCTTATCCATGAAGTCAGACAGTAGGATTTGTTCCAGGGAGTAAGCTAGTTCCATACAAAGAGTGTTACTTTGAACTTGAATATGCATGACAAGTAAGGCTAATAGCGGTGGGAGCTGAAGGTGTTTTAAGCTGCTTGGCCATATGAAGTGGCGATTTGCAATTTATGCAACCGCATCCATGACTCATTTTAAGGCTGAACTCCGGGATAAACCAGCCTGGTCTAAATACATGAGATATGTGTACAGTATTATTAAATCTTGGTATGTTTTGTGTGTTACTTCTAGATTTGCGCAGTAAGCTAGCATAAAGCATTTCCCTGTGCAGGAACATCTGTAGTACAGACTGGTCACTGCTACTCTCTTCTTGTGCATGGTGACTGGTCTTTATCAGTCCCCTCCTGTAGATTTCTGTAGACAGCCTGAAGTAGGTGGACCTGCTGGGTCCCTCTCACAGCTTACTCCACGTATGTACAGCAAAGTGATGATGCGCAATCTAGTGATAGGAATGGATTCACCAAGAGATCACATAGCTTCTTTTTCCTCATTTTGTACATATTAGCATAGGGGTTTGCTGTGTATGAAAAGGTTGTACGTATATCCAGGGACGGATTTTACCCTGTGCCTATTCACGAAGTATAGAACTAGTGGATTGTAATTTAAGTTCACTTGCATGTACAGGTGTACCTCGGTTTACGAATGCCTCAACGTAATTTTTGGTTTATGAATGAAAATCCATTGAAAATAATGCCTTGGTTTATGAATTTTTTACAAATTGTTTTCGCAATACGAAGTGTATGTCAGTGCCGATTTGTAAATGCAATTGCCAGCTTTTTTTTTTCTTCACTATAGCTCACAGAATTAGCTGTTGCTTTCCCCGGAGCTAAAGAATACTTTGTTTCTTTTATCTCAGGAAAATAAACTAAAAGGAAACTTTCTTTCTTTTAGCTGGACGGAAAGTGACAGCTGATTCTCTGAGCTAGTGAAGAAAAAAAAAAAAAGTGCTAATTACATTTAAAAACCAGCACTGACCTATAGTGATAGCGACTTTTTCTTTTTACTTTTTTCTGACTTCCGGAACGAATTAATTGGTTTTCAATGCACTCCTATGGGAAACCGCGTTTCGGTTTACAAATTTTTTACGAATTTGTTTCGCAATACGAAGTGTTTGTCGGTGCTGATTTTTAAATGCAATTGCTGGCTTTTTTTTTTTTTCACTATAGCTCAAAGAATTAGCTGTCACTTAGCAGAGCTAAAGGATACTTTGTTTCTTTTATCTCGGGAAACAAACTAAAAGGAAACATTGTTTCTTTTAACTCGGGGAAATAAACTAAAAAGAAGCTTTATTTCTTTTAGCTGGGGGAAAAGGGACAGCTGATTCTCTGAGCTATAGTGAAGAAAAAAAAAAAAAAAAAACTGTAATTACATTTAAAAACTGGCACTGACCTATAGTGATAGCGACTTTTTTGTTTTACTTTTTTTCTGACCTCCGGAACGGATTAATTGGTTTTCAATGCATTCCTATGGGAAGCAGAGTTTTGGTTTACAAATTTTT